TTTGGTGATAGTATGAGAGCAAACAACAAAAGTGTAACTGTTGATTAAAAATCACTGTGCTGAATTCACTGTCTAAATGTGTCTAAAATTCAAAGGAATACTGCAAAAGTTCTGAATTATATCAATATATCCCAACATCTATCTMTATAGAAAACACAAAACAAACTGAATTTGCCTTATAGTTCGAAAGCTGTCTATATTTGCAAGGCAAAGAATTAGTGACAGTAGCATTTTACAAAGCAGAACGATGATTTATTATACACTGATCATGCAATCTTTTATAATTAGGGTAACCCTAATGTTTTGCTGAATAGTTAAAAGATCTGGAACTAGTCTAAAAATGGTTTAAAAAGTGGTTGGAATAGCTGAAATTATCACAAAARAAGTTAATTTAGCTGAAAAAATGCCTAAATTAGCTAAAAATCAAGTAAAACATGGAAAACAGCTGCAATTCAAAAGCCATTAAACGCTTCAAACAGTTAAAAGAAGCATAAAAAGTTGAAATTACAAAAAATAACAGGAACGGTCAGAATGATAGCTAAAAGAGCAGAAAAAAGAGCTAAAATCAGCAAAACAGAAGCTGACATTAGATTAAATTAGTTTAAAAAAAGCAGAAGTAGAACAAAAGATAAAAAGAACAGTAAAGATTTAAGAAAATCTTCAAGGGTTTTAAGGATGTTGAGAACAACTATAATAATTTTCAATGAGGAGAAAAACGGCAGAAAAAAAAAAACTAAATATCTCAAAAAGTATAAATTGCTGAAGTACCAAAAGTGACAACCAGAATGTCCTTCAAGGAGCTGAATGTTGTGATGTAAAAATTGTTGAAATAGCACAAACATTGCAAAAAGAGACACGTGCCAAAAACACATACAGGAAATAAAGATCTCATTAGTGCGAAAGCTTTGTAATCAATCACGCAATAATTCCAACACAACACATGACCAGTTCCTGCTTCACCATTGTGTGTTAATGTGGAGAAAATACTGTGAGTTTTTGGTAATTGSTTTGAAGCACTTAGCTAGTTATTCAAATCAATCACTTTAACAGCTATATTCACCCATTAACACAAACAGAATTTATAAATGGTAATTGAACTGAACTTAAATAATACTTTATCAAGTYCCGCACTTTAAACTTACACATTTCACACACATTCACACACTGACRATCRCTAYATTTGTAATGAAACAACAAWAACACAAAGACTGGTGTAGCTTCAGAACTRAAAACACAAAGAACCATGACTAGAACCTTTGCTAGATCACCTTTGGTTCTAAAACATYGGCTATATTCTGCTTTTTATTCACTCTTTTATCATTCACTTTTAATTTTAACCACATGAGCACATKGGGGAACTGTAGGGTTTTCTGTATCTTGCCCAAGGGCAGTTTGAAACAGCACATGTTCAAACCACTAACCTTTCAACCAGTGAATGACCTCTCAACCAGGCTGCAAAATATGATGCCTCCTCTTTTCCTTAGATCTGCCCAAGAGTCTTTTTTTGACTTCCTTGTAAAATGACTGGGAGGCATCAGATCAATATGACTTAACACCCAGCTTGTCCTCCATAACTGAGCTTTGAACTTTGTCCGTAAGGAAGAGCTCACACAGAGACGTGGCAGATASTTATCTAGAAAGTATTTGTGTACCACTGGGACTCTGAGGGCTGCAGTGTGAAGAAAAGCCATTCCTGCCAGAGTTTTCTCAAAGGCAAACTGTGTCAAGTGAGTTGTCATATTTTAAATAATTTAAAAACTGTGAAACCCAAGAGGAGAATTTCACAAAACCTCATTCTGTAAAGCAAAGAAGGGCTATCATCTGATTGGACAGGTGTAAAGAACAGTGTGTTGATGGGTGGGAAAATTCAGCAGCAGYCGTTTTATAGCCTAAACTTTTTGTGTGTTTTTCTTTAGAATGAAATGATGAATTACCACAGTGACAGACAACCTCAAAGTTGAATTTCTCAGTAAAACTTATTAAACTATCTGACTATTTGCCCATAATGACAGCTTTTCATTTCCTCTCATCCACTCTGAATTATGACTAAACCSTCTTCCACAAACAGCGGCTTATCAGTGTTTGTGAAAGCAAATCTTCCCAAACTTTTCTTTGTACAAAACATGTTTCAGCCTTCCAACTTTTTTTTTTCTCTTTTGGCTGTTAGCAAAAATTGCATTACCTATTCAAACTGAGAGCCAAAGTTGTAAGTTATGTTCCATTTGTTGAAAAGGTTTGAGAAATTGAGAGCAATTTTATAAGAAATGAAAAAGTATTGCCAAATTGTTCCCTTTCCCAGTAAAGGTAATTTGACTAGAACAAATTGGCCATCAAGGCAACTAGGAACTGCAAGCCAGAAACTACTTTCAAGTCTAGACGTTTTGCTACAGAAAAAAATCATCTAAAAAAAATCCTTTCATTGTTTTTAAGTTAGCTCAAAGCAGCAGCCTGTTGATTAAAAGCAATGTTTTCCCATTTCAGCCAATTTGCTCTGCCTATTTTATATATATTTACCATTTTCAACACACCTGCTTCGAATAAATGGGTCACCTCGTCAGCAAATCAAGCCCTGCGGGGGCCTGATAATGACCTGTTCATTTGATGCAGGTGTGTTGGAGCAAAGAAAACCACACTTGGGAAAATGTGAGTGCTGACCGAAAACTGACAAAGTGCGTATTTGTTCCATTTTGTTCTTGCTTTTGTGTTCAGGATWTTCTCTGTCAGAAGAGCATTAATTACTTTTCCAGTGCTGTGTACTTGTATTTTCTGTTTCTTTTAAAAGAAATCTATAATTCAAGATTAGAAAAGATTTATTCAAAGGATACTCTGGTGTATTATTACTAATAGCAYCTTTTATGTGCATTTCGGGAATTCTGCCAATCTTTGAAAGGGATAGAGGAGATGAGGAGCCACCAATTAGAAGAAATGAGCCTCAGGTCTGAGCAAAATTGTAGGAGAGGATTGATCTAAACCAAGCATAAAATTCATGCTATGCTGTTAAGTCTTGAGAAAATCTAAAAAGAAGAACAAACAGCAAAAACAAACAAAAAACTACGGTGAAAATAACAATTACCCATAATGAAATTACCACCTGCCTAATACTGAGAAGGCTCCTATTTCATCACAAAAACAGATCTAATATTTGTCATGAACAAACAATCATTGTGTGTTTTCCTGACTGATCTTGGCATGAGATGTTAGCAATAGATATTWACATTATTGGGTGGGATCTTTGTGGATTGTGTCATTAGATCCCATCAGATATTTAGTAAGTCTGGAGGCCAAAAGAAGACCTCAGACTTTTTATTTTTTGAGTGATTCCAAAGCAGGTTATGCCAGATATATTGTGCTTTTTTCAGGGAAACTACCACTAGAGAAGGGCTACTGCCATGCTACAAAGGTGTCATGCCATGGTCACAAAATTGTCTAAATGGGTAAAAGTATCAAATATTCAAATGTAAGTACACAGAGCAAGTCCTCCAAGTTGAACTTCACCATTCACTGACACAAAGTGTTGCTATTATAAATTCAAAGAGTCCTGCTTCAAAATATTCTTTTTTTTTCTTTGTCTCCAACCATTTAAATGTCAACAAACTGCAAATTCCATTCAACTATAACATTAATACAACAAGGTGATCCAGCAAAAAACCGAACAATTCTACATTATACTTCTTATAAAAGTGACAGTATTTCTTTTCTTACACATCATGTGGCATCTAATGCAAAGAAACCACTGCAGTACACTTAGAAGACAAACATTACCCAACCCAACTTTTTCATAKACTCTTAATTAAAACAAAACAAAAATAATAATAAAAATAAATCAATAGATTAAAAGGAAGAATGTTTAAGCCTAAACCAACAAGAGGAACATTATTGCAACTCTTTATACACACATCATATCATAGACAAAGAGTAGATATTTAAAAGACATTTCCATTCTTTAAAGCACCTTTTAGAGAGAGAAACAAAGAATGCGTCAGCTATTCAACTCCATTTTCTGCCTTTCTTTTCGCCTTCGCAATCAAACCTGAGGGGACATAAACGGCCCTCATCATCAGGTGAAAATGCTCTCGTGAAGGGTGAGGTGACCAAAGGCTGTCGCTCAAGTTTCAAAGTGATATCATCGCAGCAGCGTTTCAAAGTGCCAGCAGTAGAACAGATGCACAGTGAGGATCCGGTCCTGTTTGGTGAATGCGTGTATATAAATGAGTGTAAGCAGATTACCTGAGGTTGGTGACTTGCTTCTCTCCATGTCAATGGACTGCTGGTTGTCAGTGAGTTCAGTAAGGCCTGCCACAGCCAAGGAAAACCAAGGAAAGGAAGAAGACACCATTTTCTATTAGATTATTTGAACAATGTTAAAGTAGAGCGCACAGAAATCAACATGGTCAGCCACACAAACCCCAAAGAAAGAGAAATTTCTGAAATATCAGATAATGTTAGTTGTTTTAGTGACACCCCCCTATTTTGTCATTATTTGCAAAGTTAAGATTCGTGAGAATCAAGGTCTTCGTTATTAGTTGGCACTTTATCCCTCTTCAGCTAATGTTTCTTAGGATTAGTTTTGTCCTCTGGGAGCAGAGTGGCTGATTGTCAATGTGACCTGCACTACAATCTGATTAAAACTATGGAACTAATTTGGGTTCCAACAGATTACATTAAGATGCAAATACAATTATAATTTGGCATTTAAAGCATGTAGTGCAAATCACGCGATCAAGACACAAAACAAAAACACACGTCCAATCAGGATCATCTCAAATCTCATTACATGCAGCAAGCACAAGTCCAAAAAAAGTCCTTTCTCCCAGCCACATGCTTCATCTTCTTCATTATTTTAGTCAAGCTATAAAGTGGAGTGTTTGAGCTGCATTGACTGTGAACTCATTAACAGCCTCACTGAGTCACCACAGTTAAAACGTTTAAATAATTTAATTATTTGCTCTCAGTCATAAGTCCATCTTAATTTTTTTTTTTTTTACAAATGACTGAAGATGCTGACAGACACTGACTGAAACCTTATTGAAGTGATAAATCAAAAATCCCTCCACAAACAAAAAGCGCACATGTCCTATTCTGGACCTTGTGCATGAACTAGGCCTTATTTAGCCCACCAACTTTGATTTAGTTAAAATATACATCACATGGACAGTGGTGGGCAGCGCTAATCCAAAGTTTAGCTCCACAATTTCTAAAGCGCTTATGAAAATATTTAAGTCCGCAACTTCAAACACACTCATGCCATAGAAAAACTAGCGGAAGCTAATTTTAAAGCGCAAGTTCAATTTGACACTTATTAGTTGGCAACAATTCATATGCAATATACTGTATATGTACAACACTGCCAACTTGTGGTGTATGAACTCTTTTAAAACTTAATTCTACAACTGCTGATTGCTGGGGAAGTGATTTCCTGAAACAGACTTTTAGCTCCTGGCGTAAAAATTAAAAAGTTGTTGAGGATTGCTAGTTCGGCTGCTTTTTTGTCTTTTTCTTTTGTTTGCTGTAGATTTTTCATTAAAGAAGCATCAATAAAACAATTTTAAAACTGTTTATTGGAAAACTGAAGCGATGCATTCTGGGTACATGATGGATTTGATTTGTGATGGGAAACGAAAGCACTGAGAGCAGGAAACTATCTTCCCTTCAAAATAAGAGCTTGGATTTTAAAGTTTTCCATGTAGTTGCTCCAGTTGACCACTAGATGTCAGTCTTCATTTGCAAAACATCTTTAAATCATTTCTGAGTCTCTAACCCCGTTGGCCGATTGCTTCAACCAGTTACGTCAAGTATTGAGCTACAACGTTTAAACGTTTTTTTTAAAGGAGCTCCGATTGTAAAGTAAAATAAATCAATGCATACAAAATTTTAGTATGGATTACAAATGTTTACTGTTTTTGCTATTGCCTTCCTGCTACGTGAGCAGACACAAAGCATAGTGGGAAATCAGAACACTGACCGAATGCAACAGTCAGCAAGGATGTTTACCTTTTCAATAAGTGTGTTTATCTGGGAGGGGTGCTGTTGGATAGATCACGTGTGTTGTGACTCATCGACAGCCATACCTTCCTCTGTTCAAGATGATGATGACTGGTAGATTATTTGTTCTTAGCGGGACTGCATTTCAATTTTAGAAAGCGCAAATCCGCTTATGAATTATAAAAATTAGTAAGACCGCTAAAGTGCAAACAAAATATTTAGGTCCGCAATTAGTGGATTTGCGCTTTGGCGGGCTGGTGCCCACCACTGCACATGGATTATATAAATTTCATAACTTTCCCATACTTTGCGGACTCAAAGCATGACTCTCCTTCTGCAAAGGACAAAACGCAGACATGACTGGAACAGGAAAAGTTTCATATAAGGAAAAACTGAAGAGATAATTATTTAAATATTCCAGTCATTTCATTGTTTTGCTGCTTTGCAGAAGGACCACATCTGTTTCTCTGCCATCCCTTTCTATAAATCAACACNCCCCACCACCCACCCCAACCCTTCTGCACACACACAACAAGTCCCCCCAACCACACAGCCTTTTTCTTTACGAGGGCCCGACTTACTCTGATAGGATGTACGGATCCTTTTCTTTGAATCTGAATAAAGGTTAGACAGGCCGCGCATGCAATGCTCTGTCAGGCAGGCCCGCATGCCCACACCAGCAGCCACAGAGTCACCCAAAGGTGGAGGGGAGGGGGAGGGTAAGAGGGAGCGGTGGGCAGGATGAAAGGGTGAGTGTTGGACAGGAGGGAAAGGGAACCAGAGAAAGATATGGCGTTGTGAGTGGGGCGAGAGATGGCGGTAAAGAGAAGAGGATAAAGGAACGATGTCAAGAGGGAGAAGACATATTTTTTTTAGGAGGGGAGGCGGGAGGGGGTGAGGGGTTGGAGGGGGGGAGAGAGAACACATCGACTTAGAGTGGAAAAGAAAGTAAGAGCAAGCAGCAACTGAGTTTGTATCAGGGGAAGACAGACAATTTATACCGGCTGCTCCGGCAAACCCCAGAAATGCTGATGTCACAATTTAAATAAAAGAAACCACTGTGTTAGCAAGAAACATTAGAGCAACACAGATTGTTGCTTTATGTCCAAACTTTAGCTGCGATTTACACTGTGTCTGGGAAAACACAGTTGGAAATAAAGCACAATTCAGTATATCAAATAAATACATTTCATATTGCACGTGAACACTGCATGCACATTTTGAGGCACATTGAATTATTTTGGACTTATTTGCTGACCATGTGCAATTTTTAGTAAATCCAAAAAGATTCAATAAAAGGAAGTTGTTGTTTTTTTTCTTTATTTCAATCTTATTTTTGCACTGGCTTTAAAAAATTGTAAAACAAAATGAGATTTCAAAATAATTTTGTTGACCAATTTAATCCCATTTTTGAGGCTTTTATTTTAGCTGGGAGCAAAAGGAAAATTGAAAAATAATGTGATTGGATGTGAATATTACAAAATTTATCTCTGCTAATATAGTTGAGAAAAAAAACTCAGTAAAAAGAAAAAGATTTTCAAGAAAAGCAGCAGGTTTTAGACTAAAAATTTCCCGCTGTAATAACACAAATAAGTACTGGTTCTCCAACCTGCTGCAATCTTACTTTAAGTGTTGCCCTCCAGGAAGGTTTGCACTTCTACAATATGCTTGCACTTATCATGGCACAAGATGCTAAAATAAGTGCCTCTGTTTATGTTTATTGTTTCTAATTAGTCGCTTGCTATTGCATCTCCTCCTGTTCTCTCCTGTTTTGCAATTCCGTTCGCTATTTCCTGCAAACTTACTGACTGTGAGACAATTGCTGAAATTGTCTTAAGGGGAATTTACCAACTCGTTTTCACCGACCATTTTTGCCGCTGCAGTTCAAATATTTAAAAGCTGCTTTGTAACGGCGCCCTGAAGCAAAATAAAAAAAAACATCAAATACACAGATATGGGGTGCTATAACTCACTAGAAGTGTGTAGAGATGGACCTTTTTGCAAAAACAAATATTAAAAAAATAAAAAAAGCATTGGCATTTGCTTGGATTCTTTCTGCACTTTGCTGTTTTTCAGATGAGTGCACTACATGTTTGAGAACCAAAATGCAGCAATAGGTTTAAGTCTTTGTTATTCTTATCCTTTGCTACCTTTCCAGAGAGGCAAAAGGACCAAACCTGAATTTTGTTTGCAACTCAGGCCACACCTTTCTTGATTAGAATCAGTTATATTATAAAATTTTCATATTAAATAAGCATTTAAGTAGATATAGCTTGGATTAGCAGAAGTAGAACCCAAAAGAGAGTCAAAAAACTTTCTTAGTTGCCTGAAAATTGTGCACACATTGTAGTTTACAAATATATATGGTAACAACAGCTAAAAATGCATAAAGACAAAACACAACTTTTATAGAGACAGCTTAGCAAGCACCCTATTATTTATTGTGCCAAACCATTTCAAAGTATTTACAAATTGACTTTAATAGAAAATAATTAAATTCCAAACACCCTACTCATAGTTTTTACAGGAGTCAATAACAAAAACTGCATAAATAGCTGAAAGTTCCTCAGCCAAACTTAGTTTAGTGTCAAATAAATATACTGTATAAAATAAATAAATATTATGTTTGAATTATTTGTGGTGGGTGGTAGTGTTGAATCCCACAATGGCATTTTAAGTCTAAGTTTGTTTCTTCAGAGGCTGTTGCCAGCCAAGATAGGAGAGAAACAAAAGGGAAGTGAGGGAGGGTCAGGAAAATACAACAAGACCTCTGTGGCTTCAAACTACAGATATGTGCTCAAGCAAGAGTGAAACAGAGCAAACAGAGAAGACAACATGCATATAAATGCAAATGTTGGATGACCAACAATTTGTTAACATGCACCTCATAACAAACTGCAAATGCTTCTGTTGTTGTGTGGTCTTGTGTGACAGGAAAGGAGGAAAACGACAGCGTGTGCAGAGTTTGACAGATTTTTTTTTTTTTTGCATTTCACTACACGAGCATATCCTGCCACCCCTAGAATTGTGTTAAAAAATGTAAAAAGAATGTAAGCTATTATGTTTGTCAGTTTATGTGGTTTTATATCGGTATTGTCAAAAAAGTGCCATTTGGTTTTAAAGTTTTCTGCAGCATGTCTAATACTGGAAACTCATCATATTATATTTATGTAAAAGTAATATTAGCAGGGTATGATTTAAAAGCAATTAACAGTGCAAACTATGTATTATTTGAATCAAATCAAAGCACATTTTTAGCCCTGCTTTATAGAAATATTTGAATAATTGTAGATCACTAAAAGCATGTTTTACAATTTCACCATTACTGACATATAAACGTAACAGTGGTGGCATGACATATACTTGAAAAATATCCATCTATCATCTAAAATATAATATATTAGCATGATGGATCTTTCTAACCTTTAAGATAGAACCGCGTGGAGAGAAGATTGACATTAAAAGGAGAAACAAAAGAGAGAAGAAAGAAAATTAGTGGACAGAGGAGGAGTCTGAATGTGATAACCGAACAGTTGGCATCTTATGTGGAGTTTTCGGTGCAGTAAGTGCAACTTTGGAGGTAAATTTGTGTTTTTATTATTCAATGAAACAAAAAGCATCTTTAATCAAAAAATAATAATTTCAATCAAAAAATTTTTTTTCAACCAAACAAAAAAAAAACTATTTCAATAAAAAATAAATAAACCTATCAAAATGTTTTTTGCAAAACAAAAACTTTTGGTTGAATCTCAAACTTTTGGTTGACGCTTTAAGTTTTTGGTTGACTGTCTAAGTTTTTGGTTGAACTCAAAAAATATTTGAACTCAGACATCACAAACTAGGGTAGTGGCGCAGGGAGTAGAGAAGCTAAGCTTGTGATCGGAAGATAGCCAGTTCAACTCCAGGTTGGTCTCCATGTTGCATGTGTGTTCGCATGTGTAAAATGTTGAATGCAGAGACTTAAAAGAGACCTGTTATGCAAAATTCACTTTTTAAAGGTTTTTTTTACTCAACTTTGGCAAATAGGCTTCAACAAGGCTTTAATATGCTAAACAATAGAAGTACATGAGAAAACATGTTCATAACAAATGAAAATAAAAAATTAAATTCTTTGTGTCCATGTCAGTTTCGATCCCTAGTCTCCCACTCTCTGGTCCAACACTCTACCCACTGTGCTACAGGAGGCTTGTCATAAAATGAGCTGCACATTACACAACAACACCGTGACAGCTTTTTATATGGAGGAGCAGCTTCACCTGGGGTTTGCAAGGTAAGAGGCTGAACACAGGTTCTGGTGGGTTGTCATTCGGCTTGTGACATCACAAAATGTACAAAACTTGTCATTAATATACATTAAAATACATTTACTTACAGTAAATATGCCCTTGGGTGCATTTTTTGGTCCTAGGACTGTTTTCTTAAGAAGTACACACCCAAAGTTGAGTAAAAAAAACTTTTAAAAGTGAATTTTGCATAATAGGTCTCTTTCAAGTCTCTACATTTAACCTATCACACATGTGAACACACGTGCAACATGGAGACCAACCTGGAGTTAAACCGGCTACCTTCTGATCACAAGCTTGGCTTCTCTACTCCCTGCGCCACTACCCTAGTTTGTGATGTCTGAGTTCAAATCTTTTTTGAGTTCAACCAAAAACTTAGAAAGTCAACCAAAAACTTAAAGCGTCAACCAAAAGTTTGAGATTCAACCAAAAGTTTCTGTTTTGCAAAAAACGTTTTGATAGGTTTTTTTTTTTTTTCTTTTTTTTTTTGATTGAAATAGTTTTTTTGTTTGGTTGATAAAACTTTTTTTTGGTTGAAATTATTTTTAAATTGAAACTGCTTTTTTAGTTTGGTTGAAATTATTATTTTTTGGTTGAAAATATTAATTTTGATTGAATTTATTTTTTGTTTGGCTGAAAAAAATATTTTTGATTGAAATTATTATTTTTTGATTGAAGATTGTTTTTGTTTGATTGAATAATAAAAACACAAATTTACCTCCATATGCATCTAGGTTCCCGGAGGTTTTTGTGTGTGTGCTACCTGAGGTGGACTGTCTGTTCCTACGAGGGGAACGGGTAAGGCGCTGGTAGGGGTCGGTGGCTCCGTACAAATCCAGTGTAGACATGCACAATATGACCGTTTTTTGCAAGTAGTCCACCACTGCTAGCCCATTGCAGTTCCCAAACGCCAATCTGGATGCAAACAAACACAAGGAGGAAACGCAAAACACAAAAATGCGTTCAAACGGCAGGCAATTTTAGCTTCTTTCGCAGGGTTCGTGCCACTGACATTAAAGGTGCAACATGAAGCACTATCAAAGACTGTGAAATTAACGGTGACATTTGGATGCAATTACTGACAACAAAAGCCTGTCTTTATCTCACGCTGCTCGGGCTGCTGTGATTTCAATATTAATGGCAAATTTCCAACAAAATCCATTGCCACCTGTAAACCCCTGAAGCATCTGGCATAGCTGATCAAGAGGAATGAAAACAACAAAAGGAAGGAGGGAATTGGATAATCAGGTGCTGGTTATACCTGCTTTTGCTATCAGCATTGTAAAAACAAAAAAACTTAAAATATGATGTTAGGGAACGTAAAATAATTTATGCCCACACCTCCCTGCTCTGCAGAATCTGATTCAGACTGTTAAAACATAATTCATTGTGTTGGCACAAATTTATGTTTTATTTTAGCAATAGTATTTTTCACTAATTGCAAGAAGATAAATATACATTTGGAAAAAAGAAATTCTTACAAACAAGGATCTGCAAAACAAACCTACAGCATCATCAGGTATTGTGAGCTATGTGGTGGTCATAAAAGACACAACATTGCCGAACAGTTCCTATTTTTTTTCTAAAATGCGAAACCAAGCATTCACATGGAAACATCATCATCATCATTACTGATGTGCAAAGCTTCGACTAAGTTAAATTRTTTCTAACAGAAAGCTGCAGTGGAATTTTAAAAAGTTTCTTTAAAATGAAGTTTTTGTTTACTTCTGAATGTGCAATACTTTATGGTGACATTGACGTATTTGGCCCTAATTATAAACTTAGGAGACAATCTTGTGTCTTCATTTCAACTTAAGCAATTAAAACATAACAAGAGATGAGGAAAGAATGCATGGTTTTGAAACATAAAGGGTCTTTTGACTAATATTTAAGAACTATTGCTGCTTCAATAAATGTTTGATGCAGAAATCTTTTTTTATAAAATGGCAAAAATATATTTTCTTTTCTTTTGTGTGTGTGTCTAAGTCAAAGAGTGAACATTAATGAAAAAGCAAGCAAAACACAAGAAAAAAACTGTTTTTTTAGCTCTATTCAAACTGTGGAGAGCTGCATATGAGATATTTAGATGAGAGATCCAAACCTTGACTCTCAGGGGAGCTTGATAAACCAAGCTCTGATTTTATTAAATTCTTCCAGTGAAGTTTTCTATTCAAAGCAAAGTCATCAAATAGTCTTAAAGCCAAGAAAAATCATAGAAGTGTCATCGTTTCTAGAATAAATGACTCAGTGTTCACCAAGGTCACAGAAATTATTAGCAAAACGTCTATCTAATAAAAAAAAGAAACTTTTCCCATGCAGGGTTAAACGGGTCTCAAGCATCACATTTCCCATTATCCCTGATCTTTAATGTCTGTAAATGTCAAAAGTGTCTGCTACAAAATTAAAGCCTGCTAAATATTGCACAGCTGACAGTTCCTGGCTGTGGAAAAAGTGCGGGTGCAAGCTGCTCCAGGTAATGCTTATTTATTGACCTGCAACCTTATACAACCTTATATACCCCTAATACATAAAACTCTGCTTACATGAATTAAAATACGGCCCAATGAAACACAGACAGACAGATGGGCAGAAATATGAATACCCAAAACCATATGTGGAGTTGGGATTGACTGTGTTTTCTGGAATAAGCCCCTATTAAATTTTCCCTTTCACTGAAGTTTGATACCAACCTGTGACTGCTTTGTTTCAGAAAAAAGATCAATCTAAGTCATGTTTTATATGGTTACGGGTAAAAACGAGCCATAATCTCAGCGTAGTACTCAATTCCTGAATTATATCTGTCTATTTTGATATTTTATAGACAAATGTTTGGCAGCAGTCAAATTTATGGAAATGGTTAATACTTTTCAATATGTTTGTCTGCTGTAGATATTCCAATTTTGCACCACGAAAAAAGAATGAATGGACTCATAGATGGATACCAGAGAAACAGACAGAACACATCTGAAGACTTACAGGCCATATGCAGAATTAATATCTAGGCTGGTGATCTGTTGGGGTGGTTCTCCATCGACCCACAGCAGCTGGATGACCAGGTCTGACTGGTAGCCAGGAGGGACCCTAACCACTCGGTCTTTCACCCTGAAACAAATAAAAAATAATAATTGAAAGATTATGTAGCAACAGTGCGTGAAGATAACCCACCAAAAAATGGAGGCTGTGAGTTGTGTTACTAATCTCTACATCTTGAAAAGATACAGTGACTAAAAATGTTTTGTTGTTTTTTTCCATCATTCCATTTTCTTTAACCTGCTTTTCTTATCTGGGTCACGGGGCAGGTGGTGTCTATCTCCCATAATCACTATGTGAAATGGGGAGTAGACCCTGAACACATCTTCGGTCCATCACAGAGCCATGAGATACTCACACCTAGAAGAAATTTACAGTTACCTAACATGCAAGTTTCTGGTTTAAAGGAGGAAACCGGAATACCTGGAGAAAACCCACTTGTGCATGCAGTGGTGGGCACCAGTCTGCTAAAGAGCAAATCCGCTAATTGTGGACCTAAATATTTTGTTTGTGCTTTAGCGATCTTACTAAGTTTTATAATTCAAAAGCGGATTTGCGCTTTCTAACATTAAAATTCAGTGCCGCTAATAACTAATTACCTACCAGTCATCATTATCTTGAACAGCGGAAGGTTTGGCTGTCAATGCATCACAGCACATGTGATCTATCCAACAGCACAACTCCCAGATAAACACACTTATTGGAAAAGTACACAACCTTGCTGACTGTTGCTTTCAGCCACGGTTCTGATTTCCCACAATGCTTTGTGTCTGCTTACATAGCAGGAAGGCAATGTTTAGAACTCCCTTTCCCAGCAAAAACAGTTAACGTTTGTAATCCTTACTAAAATTTTGTACAAATTGATTTATTTTACTTTACAATCGAAGCTCCTTTTTTTTTTTTTTTAAAAAAAAGGAAAGTTTAAATGCTGGAGCTCAATACTTGATGTGATTGGTCTAAGCAATCCGCCAGAGAGGTTAGATAAACATCTGATGGTCAACTGGAGCAACTACATGGAAAACTTTGGTTTCCTGTCACAAATCAAATCCATCATGTACCCAGAATGCATCGCTTCAGTTTTCCAATAAACAGTTTTAAAATTACTTAAGTGATGCTTCTTTAATGAAAAATACACAACAAACAAATGAAAAAGACAAAGAAGCAGCCAAACTAGCAATCCTCAACAACTTTTTAAAGACACAGCCGAACTAGCAATCCTCAACAACTTTTTAAAAACACAGCCGAACTAGCAATCCTCAACAACTTTTTAAAGAATCGGCCGAACTAGCAATCCTCAACAACTTTGTAATTTTTACACCAGTAGCCAAAGTTCTGTTTCAGGAAATCACATCCTCAGCAATCAGTGCTTGTAGGATTAAGCTGTACAAGGGTACATACACCGCTAGTTGGCAGTGTTGTACATATATATTGTACATAAATTGTTGCCAGCTAATAAGTGTCAAATTGAACTTGCGCTTTAAAATAAGCTTCCGCTAGTTTTTCTATGGCATAAGCATTTTTGAAGTTGCRGACCTAAATATATTCATAAGCGCTTTAGAAATTGCAGAGATAATTTTTTGGGTTAGCGCTGCCCACCACTGTGTGCATGGGACAATCATACAAACACATAACAAAATGGTCTGGAAGCAAACCTACAACTCATTAGCTGTGAGGCAATAGCTTTAACAACTGTGCCTTTGAGCCACCACTTACCGTACTGACACATTATAAATGTATGACTCATGCTTAAGTCTAAAAGGTTATATCTCTGTAGTTCTAATTACATGCAGTTGGGGCTTCATAGCTTACTGTTTCTTGGTGCTTTATAAAACATATTCTTACCCACTTTAAGACCCACAAAGAACTCGTCAAAAAATGCAATATTTGTTGCTRTCTGCTGTAAGGTGTCTATGATGTGTGGGCAGAGATTTTACTTGAGGCAGGGGACGCTGTCTTTGGCCCCCTCCGGCGTCCTGCTGCCCGGGCTGACTGGGTACTGGTGGTGTGGTTGGGGTGAGTGCGAGCCTGTCTCTGAGAAGCAGGGATTGTTTTCGTTTTCTGAAGGAGTGATGACATCCTCAGCATCACACTGCAGGCGTACTTCTAGCGCCTGGGGAGGACACAGTTACAGAAATACGAGTGAATCAAGAGAACTTACCAAAGCAGCTATAATTAAACAAYGCTGAAACAAATGCAGAAATCTGAAGGCGATGAATTGACTCTTATTTAACGTACCACTATCTGAGTGTTGGCGTCATATTTACTGAAGCGATACAGGATGATGTGAGCCGAGATGCCGACCACACAGAAGATTCGACTCTGAGGGCACCAGCTGACCATTTGAACAGCAAATGGGTCTTCTTCCACTAATTCAGCAGCCCGACCCTCTCCGGGCTTTGGCTTCTCAAAGACTTTGGAAGTCTTCAGCTTGTACAACATCTGCAGTGTGACTTTTGGGACAAATTTAGAGAAAATGTCAGGTCAATAAGTTCTTATTGCCAGGATTGCTGTATGGACAACAAAACTCTGTTATGAACAAATCACATCATTTTTAGAAATGTTTGGAAAAAAAGAGAGGGGTTTAAGGAGAGGACTTACATGCAGATGCATCCCAAAATTTTATTGATCCATCGGCGTGTCTAAATGTATTGAGAGAGCAGACAGAACCATTAACTACAAAATGTGCATCTAAACCTTTTTAGATGCTTCTGTGATACAAATTATTACCTAAAAATGGCGGCTATCTCCAAAACTCTTTAAAATATTAATAATTATCATCTCATTTATTACCACTGCTAAATATTACACTATTTCAATCCATATCAGAGCTATTCATAATGCTCCGAAAGCCGAAAATCACATTTGAATGCTTGCTTTATTTTGAGGCAATGAAGTTTCTATGATCTGGGATTTTGAGCCTKTTCACACTGTGCACTACACAGAAAAGATATCAGCATCAAAGATGCACATTGGCTGACATTGATGTCTGTGAGGTTTACCCAAAAGAAGACATCCCTCTGTGTGCAAATTTAACAAGTTAAGATATTTTCCGGAAAATTTAAAGCACTGTGCTTTTGCAAAAATGAATATGATGAATCCCAGCCATCTTTTCATGTCCTRGAAAAATAGATTTACATATAGATATGATTTAATGTGGGTTACCAATCGCAAGATAATATTTTCTAATGGTTAACGTTTATGCCAACATTGATTTTTTATCAACTTACCCTGTGACGATGATCTCTGGATAGGTGTGGGAACCTAATGTCCATGTTCCTCCACCAATTGGCCACTCCTTGATAAAGAGAAAAGAACATTTTTTACAATCAATTCTAATTATTTATTAATTATTTTTTGTCCTAATGTGCCCCTGCTTAGCTGCATTTAAAAACTCACAGTAGCACATTTAAGGTTTCCAAAAACCCATACTTTCATTTTTAAAGACAAAAAGAAGCGGATTAAAACGGCATGCGGGAAAATGATAACCTATCACATTTTCACAAATCTGAACACCACTTATTATGGAAGGCTAAACCTACTTGTTTAATTTATGATTAAACTTGAACTTACAGTCAAATTAGTGTCTTTAGCAGATCAGAAACAAACTATTTTCTCTTTTTCCCATTTTTTTATTCTCCATGAAGAGAATATAGTGAGAATGCAGTGGRTTCATAAATACAAAATCAGTCCTTGTGCTGAAAAATCCAAGCAAGACTAAACTGGATGCAAATCTAATAAATCAGAATCAACAATACATTATTTTCCCCACAAAACCCACTTTCTTAACCTTATGACTGTAGCCAGTCTTCTTATGTTTGGCTCCTATAGAGTAGAGAATGGGGATGATGTCTGGTGGACAATCTGCAAAATAAGCTGTGCAGGTGACCGGGGACTCGTGGACATCCATGGGGTAAGGGTTCTCAAACACTGGGAAGCTGCAAGAAACAAACATATTGTTTGATATAGGTTATAGTTTAGTCCTCATTGAAGGTAAACAATAACATTAACACATCCTATTTTGAAACATTATTACCTACAAAATAATTTTAAGTAAAATTGGGTTAAAATATTGTACAATATATGCAATATAACCTCTGCAAACTATGCGTTTGTGCTAAAGCATCTACAATGTAAGCTTGTAGATGCATTGTAACTTTATTTATTGAACAGTTAACTTGTTCGATCCAACTGCTGATCATTGAGCTGTGAATATGTGATACAATCTTAGTATGTTACAACCACAGCTACCCAGAGACATTTACATCTAATGGGCGTAATTATAGAACCTAATTTACTAAGCAAGCTAATTTCTACCTAAGTGTTGTGCTACTATTCAAATGTACTCCCTAGACTTGGGTGTTAATCTGTCAAAAAATCTCATCAGTTGCCTTCATCTTTTCAACATTCATCAATGACAAGTTAACTGAGGTGATAACTTTTTCACCCTGAGAGCAAACTCACATCTCTGCTTAAAGATATGATTCAACAAACTGTGTTATGGATAAATGATATAGTCTTTGTCCAGATGGAACATCAACAATGCCCTAACTAGTAGAAACTATGCTAGGCTTGTATGAGATGCTGCAACTCTGCCCCAAAAATAGACCAAAAACAAGATGTGGACATAAAGCTTCCACGTGGTGTGCAAAATGTAAACTCAAGAAAGAGAAGGCAATGCCCTGGCATTGTAGGTTAGATTAGAAGTGGGATAGTGACGTCATCGTTTTTCAGAAATTTGCATTTTGGCTGCCTCCTAAAACACTATAAAAGCATTCCTGTAGGGACAGCCACTGTTTGTGTTCTCACATGTTTCTCACCCATGGGTAACCGTTAACCGTGACTGTGTAGAATATGCAAACCACATACGTGCTCTGTGTCAGATCCACAACAATTAAGTCCTTCTCCAACAGCACTACCACTGCATAGGGCTCTTGAACCTCTGTAAAACACATATTCAAATGAAATGGGTTATTAGGGGTGCAATAATTCTAGTTTTCTGGCCAATCTCTGATCACTGATCTTTAAAAAATCTGACCTGCCGATTCCAATTTTGGCCGACACGATTATTTAAACAGTTGATACTCAGGTGTTATAATACAACTTCAATGTTCCAACCTTATTTTAATGAAATACATTGAACAATACCCTTGAAACAATACAAACTTGTTTTTACTGGACACTAGGTAGTGCTCACAGCAGAGCAAAAGAGGACAGTGGCTGATTTTCAGACCTTTGTGGAGGCAGAGAAGCTGATCTTTTCCACCGATCTTATCAAAGGATCGGCCAATCTCTGATCTCCCAAAATTAAGGAAATCGGCCGGCTGATTTGTTGGTGCTCCCCTAGGTATCAGTAATAATTTATTGAAATACACTTTATTTATTACCACAATTTATTTTACCCAGTGTATGTATATATAAACTTGTGGCCTCTTTGTGGATGCCATTTGTTGTATTCCAAGGCTCTCCTTAGCATCTGCTATTCTCCCATCAGGGAGTGCAATTCCCTCTGTGTGGATTACCTTTTGTATCTTTGTTACCACTTAGCCATATTTCTCCAGCACAAAATTTAATGTTGATGTCCCTGCTGTAGATCATAGGGCTGTGTATTGGCAAGAATTTGGTGATGTGATGCATATCCCAATATGGGGTCAAGATATGATATATAACAATCATTTGCAATTTTGTAAGCAAAGAAAAATGTTGCCATTGCTTTCTCTAAATGGTAAAGTACACACTACAGTGGTTTGCAAAAGTATTCATACCCCTTGAACTTTTCCATATTTTGTCACATTACAACCACAAACATAAATATATTTCACTGGAATTTAATGTGAAAGACCAACACAAAGTGGTATACAATTGTGAAGTGGAAGCAAAATTTTACATGAATCAAAACATTTTTTACAAATAAAAAACTGAAAAGTGCGACGTGCAAAATTATTCAGCACCCCTGAGTCAATACTTTGTGGAGCCACCTTTTGCTGCAATTACAGCTGCAAGTCTTTTAGGGTATGTCTCCACCAGCTTTGCACATCTAGTGACTGCAATTCTTGCCCATTCCTCCTTGCAAAACAGCTCAAGCTCAGTCAGATTGGATGGAGAGCGTTTGTGAACAGCAGTTTTGAGATCTTGCCACAAATTCTCAATTGGGTTTAGGTCTGGACTTTGACTGGGCCATTCTAACACATGAATATTCTTTTTTTTAAACCACTCCATTGTAGCTTTGGCTTTATGTTTAGGGTCGTTGTCCTGCTGGAAGGTGAACCTCCGCCCCAGTCTCAAATCTTTTGCTGACTCCAACAGGTTTTCTTCCAAGATTGCCCTGTATTTGGCTCCATCCATCTTCCCATCAACTTTGACCAACTTCCCGGTCCCTGCTGAAGAGAAGCACCCCCAGAGCATGATGCTGCCACCACCATATTTGACAGTGGGGATGGTGTTTTCAGAGTGATGTGCAGTGTTCTTTCTCCGCCACACATAGCGTTTTGCATTGTGGCCAAAAAGTTCAATTTTGGTCTCGTCTGACCAAAGCACCTTCTTCCACATGTTTGCTGTGTCCTCAACATGGCTTCTGGCAAACTGCAAACGGGACTTCTTATGGTTTTCTTTTAACAATGGCTTTCTCCTTGCCACTCTTCCATAAAGACCACATTTGTGTAGTGCACGACTAATTGTTGTCCTGTGGACAGTTTCCCCCACCTGAGCTGTGGCTCTCTGCATTTCATCCAGAGTCACCATGGGCCTCTTGGCTGCCTCTCTGATCAGTGATCTCCTTGTTCGGCCTGTAAGTTTAGGTGGACGGCCTTGTCTTGGCAGGTTTACTGTGGTGCCATACTCTTTCCATTTCCGGATGATGGATTGAACAGTGCTCCGTGAGATGTTCAAAGCTTGGGAAATCTTTTTATAACCTAAGCCTGCTTTAAACTTCTCCAAAACCATATTCCTAACCTGTCTGGTGTGTTCTTTGGACTTCATGATGCTGTTTGCTCCCCAATATTCTCTTAACCAACATCTGAGGCCGTCACGGAGCAGCTGTATTTGTACTGAGATTAGATTACACACAGGTGGACCCTTTTGAGTCATTAGCAGTCATCAGGCAACTTCTGAATGCAATTGGTTGCACTCAGGGAAAAGGGGGCTGAATACTTTTGCACGTCGCACTTTTCAGTTTTTTATTTGTAAAAAATGTTTTGATTCATGTAAAATTTTGCTTCCACTTCACAATTGTATACCACTTTGTGTTGGTCTTTCACATTAAATTCCAGTGAAATATATTTATGTTTGTGGTTGTAATGTGACAAAATATGGAAAAGTTCAAGGGGTATGAATACTTTTGCAAACCACTGTATGTATTCAATGCATACAAACATGTTAAATTCAGTTTATATTTCATACAATCACAAGAACACTGAACAACTGAGATCATCCATTGAGACTTAATTAAAAACCGATACAAAGTTTTTGAGAATTGATACAATATTAGAAAATAAAATATCACAATATTTCAGTGTATTGGTATTTTATTATACCCTTAATGATGATGAATTTGAATACATTAAATTACTTGATAACTATAGTTAAATGAGTCAACTAAAATTAAATTAGTGTAGTAAAATCAAAAGATTTTAGTAGTAAGATCTAAAGAGCAGCATATTGATAGAGTTTAGAGTAGGTTGCATCCATAAAACAGTGGTTTTAAAAAAGGCCCTTCCCTACGTTTTGCAAATTTTGAACGTGCCCCAAATCTTTCAGCTTKAGCCTCACACAAGCCCCTGAATAAACAAAAAAGAAATGTATAAAACACATTTTGTTATTTTTACTCACCATTATTATAAGGAGTCTCACAGAGCACCATGAACTCTACAATGGGATGGTCCATCTCCAGAACGGTCATGGCTTTGCCATGCATGATGGTCAAAGCTGGCCGTCGCCCTGCTTTGTCGTATGAAAGGCCACCAGAGAAGATAATGAAAGGCTCACTGTTGAAGATGAAGAACAGACACTCAGAGAGGCTTTGATTCAATTTGTTTCGGTCCAACCAGCTCAAACTGACAAGCCGAATAAATTATTAAATGTGATAATTAAACTGTCAGAGTAATAATAATAAAAATGTTTTATGTCTAATCACCTGCTTATAATTTCCTTTGAAAAAAGAAGACTGCTTAAAATGAAAGAGTGAACGAAATGAGTTTGCAAAAATGAAGAAAACCTCATTTTAAAGCTATGGGTAGGCGATTGATTTACATAATTGAACAAATCCAGCTAACTTTCATCTCAAAGCTTGCATATTACTTTAAGAATGAATGACACAGACAACACGTTCAATCAGGACACTTCACATTTACTGAAATCAGGCTTTTGGAACAGGTTTGAAAGCACACACCTGTTTCTTGAGGTCTTGTATTCAACTTTGAGAATGGGTTTACATGACTCCTTCCTCCCATCCTTCTGTATCTTTCCTGAGTTATGGGAATAGCAAAATATTTTATTATATATTGTTTCAAGCTATTCGTTTTTATTGAGCAATACTGTACAGTTGCTTTATGCATCATTTCACGCTGACAATCATGTCCTCCACACCTGTGAGTACAATGTAGAATAAGTAATTTTGTCATTAAAGTGATCAGAAGATACAACAGCTCAAAATGCATCTAAATCCATTTCCTACTTCACCGTTTCCCTTTTCACAGTTCGTTTCCATTTTTCATTGTGAAATGGTGGCCCATTATTAGAGTGTTAATATTAAAGAGATTTATTTTTCTTCTGCCTCTGCAAATGAAGTGTTTCTGTGGTTTACACAAAAAGGAATTATTTCAGGTAGAAAGCAGTGAGGGACCATGGTTTTTTTTTTATTTAATGGGCAGAAATCTTTGAACAAAAGCTAATAGCTTTGTGAATTTCTAAACAGTGTGGCATCAACCCACCCTGCTACTACAGCAAAAACATTAAAAATGACACAGCACTACAACTGAAACGTATTGCACTTGTTTATTTTAAATTAATGTGAAATTTTAAATAACTTTGTTGCCATAATAACAAATGATTACTATAACTGCATGTCGACTGTATTTAATTGTCTTGTTGGAGCGTTTTTTTTCTTTTGCCTTCAGGTAGATTCAATAATCCTGTAACTCAGTGTTGGCTTAGTGTTTTAATTTTTCTTGGTTTCAAAATTAGCTCATCTCAAGCTACTAAAAAAACAACTCAAAACCCTTTTTTAGTTATTTTTTAGTCTGTTTATGTTCAAGCCCATCAAAGTCAGTAACAGCCACAGATTCTGTCTGATGCCACATGGTGACTTTTCTGTTTTTAACTGCAAAATTCATGTTTAAAAATATGTCCAATATCAGCACTTAAAATGTACTAATTTACATTTATTTTTCCAAAAAAAAAATCACATTAGCCATGGTAGAAATTTCTTTCCAACAACACCAGTAATACTGTATGGATAATTTCTTGGCTTCTCTTATACTAAGGCTAGTATTCACCCTGATGGCTCTAAGATAGATGTTCCAGCCATAGTCTGCCAGCTTCCTGCTTGCCAGTTCCCTGTCAGTGAACCCGCAGTCTGCTAGCCCTCAGCTTGAGCTGGTCCCAAAGCCAACCCTCAGGAGGTCTGCCATAAAAAAGCAAAGCTGCAGGCGATAAGCTCCTGCCATTCTGCAGCCTCACCCTCTGGGATCCCTGCTGGTTTTCACTGCAGTGTTTCCTCAATGGCTTGTACGTATTACCACGCCGCCTGTCATCGTTTTCGAGCCCCACCACCTGTCTTAGTATCTTTGCCACAATCCCAGTCACAATTCTTCCTCCATCCCCTACCAAGGTCTTTAAAGTCTGAGCTAGCCAAAAATACACCGGGTAAAATACGTAGTGAACACGTCAGCATTTTTCACAGTAAATATATTACTAGAGGTGCTAATGACATGAAATTTTCACCAGATGTCGGTAACAACCCAAGTGATCCATACATACAAAGAAATCAAACCATAAATGTCCAGAAATGAAGTTATTTGTAATATGTGGAATGGTACAGGGAAAAAGTATTGAACACATGAAGAAAGGGAGGTGTAAAAAGGCATGGAAAGCCAAGACACCAGCTGAACTCTCTCAGTAATTAGAAAGCAAGCCTGCCCCTTGTCAGTGCAAGTTAAAGTCAGCTGGTTCAGTCCCAAATGATGGCCAGGTATCACACAAGAACCATCTGATGATGGGTAAAAGTAAAGAGCTCTCTCAAGACCTTCACAACCTTATTGTTGCAAATCATAATGATGGCATCAGTTACAGAAGAATGTCTAAACTTCTGAAGGTTCCAGTGAGCACTGTTGGGGCCATAATTCAGAAGTGGAAAGGTCATCATTTCACCATAAACGACCACGACCAGGTTCTCCTCACAAGATTTCTGACAGAGGAGTGAAAAGAATTATCAGAAGAGTTGTCCAAGAGCCAAGGACCACTTGTGGAGAGCTTCAGAAAGACCTGGAATTAACAGGTACGATTGTTTCAAAGAAAACAATAAGTAATGCACTGAACCACCATGGCCTGTATGCACGCTCACAATGCAAGACTCCACTGCTGAAGAAACAGCATGTTGAAGCTCCTTTAAAATTTGCTGCATAATATTTAGACAAGCCTGTGTAATACTGGGAGAATATAGTCTGGTCAGATGAGACCAACATTGAACTGTTTGGATGCCAGAATAGACATCATGTTTGGAGGTCAAATGGCACTGCACATCAGCCCAAAAACACCATACCAACAGTGAAGTTTGGAGGTGGGAACATCATGGTGTGGGGCTGTTTTTCAGCATATGGTACTGGCAAACTTCAAATAATTGAAGGAAGGATGAGTGGAAAATTGTACAAAGACATTCTTGATAAAAATCTGCTTCCATCTACCAGGATGATGAAGATGAAACGTGGCTGGACATTTCACCAAGACAATGACCCCAAATACAAAGTCAAGGAAACTCTCAGTTGGTTTCAGAGAAAGAAACTAAAGCTGCTGGAATGGCCCAGCCAATCACCTGACCTGAATCCAACAGAAAATCTATGGAAAGAACTAAAGATCAGAGTTCATAGAAGAGATCCACAAAACCTTCAAGATTTGAAGACTGTTTGTGTGGAAGAATGGGCCAAAATCACACCTGAGCAATGCATGCCACTAGTTTCTCCATACAGGAGGCATCTTGAAGCTGTCATTGACAACAAAGGCTTTTGTACAAAGTATTAGATAAATTTCAGTAAGTGTGTTCAATACTTTTTCCCTGTGCTGTTCCACATTATTACAAATAACTTCATTTCTGGACATTTATGGTTTGATTTCTTTGTATGTATGGATCACTTGGGTTGTTACCAACATCTGGTGAAAATTTCATGTCATTAGCACCTCTAGTAATATATTTACTGAGAAAAATGGTGACATGTTCAATGCTTATTTTACCCGCTGTAACCATGCTTGTGTTCGCAATGCCAGAAGCAAAACCAGAGCATGCCAGAGCACATTAGGCCAGATCATGTTATGCCAGACCATGTGATTCTACCCAACCTGTTAAGTCTGAATCCATATGGCGCTTGCCAGACTCTGCAGGCTCCCTTCAACCACAAGGTGCTGGGTCTGCAGTTTTGCTGATTCAAGTTCGAGTCTGGAGAGGAACTACCTGCCTCCTGTTCTGCAGGTGTTTAGCTGGCCTTAGAGTCTGCAATCCCTGTTTATGTTTCAGTCTCAAACTCTGAGTCAACAAAAATCCTTGGTAAATGTTCTGTTATGTCATGGCAGTAATGGAGCAAGCTGATGTTCCAATAAACTTGAGTCAGCTGGTGCATCATCTGGGCCAGCTGACGTTGGTCTACCCCCTGCTGGAATCTCTGGTTATCTGTTCTGCTGACCTATGTTTGGATCTCTACCTTACTGTTTTTCAGCAACTTTTTTTCTGGCTGACCACTGGGGGGTGGTTTTTTGCTTCATGTGCCCAGTTTACCTTTTTGCTCACCTACCTGTTTAATCTCTGATATGAAAACCCCTGCCTCTCAGAAAGGGGGATCGCCAAACAGTTTCCAGCCAGGACGAGAAAACAGGGTGGCCTATAACAGGTGAGACCATCCTGTCTGCACTCATGGCCTCATGGTAGTGGTCCAGAGAGACATTGCTTTGTCACTCTCAGAAAGCACTTGCCAACTTGCTTGCCTCCAGGCCAAAACTGACCTTGCAGGCCTGTAGACTCCAGAGGGTATAACTAAAATCACTTCTTTCTTTTTGGAGTTTTTTCTACTGCAGCAGCTTCCCATCTTTACATTTGGATAAAGTATTTTCTCTAAACAGACACCTATATATCAGTAGTAATAAATTATACTTCATAAGTGATGTATGTATTTTTTGTGAGCTTGTATTTAAGTCAAACTAAAAAAAAAGGGCTAGCACTTAAACATTACACTTGTTTCTAAAGAGTTGTTGTTTGTCAGGTTCCCTGCCTCTCATGTATTTTTGTTTTCGGCCTCTGTGTTTTGTGATTTCACAGTTCACAATGCAGAAGCACAAATCTGACAAGGTCATGATGCCCTGCCAGGAAGCAAATAAAATCAGAGGAAAGAAACCAAAACTGAACTGTGAAAAATTACACACTCGTCTGCAGAAATCATTTGTTCCTGATGAAAATAATTCAACTAATTTTATACTGAAGAGCATCATATTCAAGCTTTATTTATTCCTATTGTGAAAAAAAAAGAAAATATAATTTGGGTGTATATCTCACCATGAGGAAAGGTGACCTGGAATGGCTTGGTGGTATTTCTGAGGTTCCATAATGTCAGACTTCCATCTGAATGACTACACATGAACTGTTTCCCTTCATGATGCCAGCTGGCTGAATGAATGGCCTGTACCAAAGAGAAAAAAAAAGGTAGACAGTTTACTCATCATAGTGTTAGATTTCAAACAATTTAAGTATCTTATTTCTGATTCATCATTCATTTCTGGAGCAGTCTCTCAGATTAACCATTATTTGATTGTAAGAAAAATACATGTTTAATAYGACTGAAGTCAAGATGAAAACACCATTGTTAAATAAAATGATTTGTGGAAGGAATAAACCATACAACACCAGAATTCTGGAACCGAGTGAGCTTTAATTGTCACCGGTCTGACAAGGAAAACCACACTGGCTAAAGGCCAGGAAGTACATCGATTTATACATGATTCTTCAATGCCTGAGTTCGCCCCCTACTGACCTACGGCTGAATCACAGGCATTCATCCAAAAATCTCAATCTAATGTAATAATAACGTTTCACTTATGTATTGTTTATAATTCAGACATGTAACTACTCTATATCAATTAACACATAATAGATCAAACATTATAAAAAGGAAACCCTAATAATCTAGTGTTGTGCTTCTAACATCAGTACTAGCCTGTAATAACTAAATTTCTTCATGATGATGCATATAGAACTTTTGCAGAGTTTCTGACTTGTCGTACACGAGAAAGACACAATTCCCAGAGCTTCTTTTCCAAATTGTTTTTCAAAGTTTTTTGCTAGAACTTAAAGCTCAATAATGCAAAAAGCTATTGGAAAAATGACAGAATTCTAAAATCCCAAGGCAACTCAAATGCTTCATTAGGCTTTCTTTGAGAGTTTTTCAAAACCTATTGATGCCAGAGTTACAAAAGTCAGCTCCTTCAGGAACAAAAAAGGCAATAAACATCCATTTTTTATGAATAACTGACTTTTTGTTCAATATAAATGTTTATTTTCATGCCAAGAGTAAGACAACCTGCCATGTTTGGGAATATGAAGTAAAACATGTTTCACACTTATCACACAGTTTAATGCAAGTTTATTTCAATTACATTCAACATGCACATAGTTTCACATTCAGTGTGAATGAATCAGGTACAGCTCCTAAGAAAAGAGATTGTGTTCRACATAGATGCAACTGAAATGCCTGCATGACATTTCAAATTTAATGAAAATAGTGCAAGCTCTACCATTAACAGTAACTCAGTGATGCACCCTTGCGTTGTTGAATGTTGTTTTTATTTTCAGCTGAGCAGGTGTGAAGCAGAGGTTTTCTGCTACGGTKATGACAAAGAACAGAAAGGTAAATTAATGAGGTTGGAGATAAGAGCTGGCAACCAAAACAGAAGATGARTGCCAAAAAGGGATGATGTCCCAAGGAAATAAAGATGTGAAGTCCAATTGGGTATATGCAAGATTAACATGTTAAACTAAATGTTACTGGAGTGCAGATTATTGATTTTTATGCACCCAGTTATCAGTTATTGAAATGAAAATGATTTTTGAATTAAAAGTCTAAAATATTACATCAGTTAAAAATAGTTTTTTTTTTGAAAAGCATCAGTTCTCAATCTTCTATTTAGTTAAAAGGCTTGGCATCAGACCAAAAAAACCTGACCCTTGTCTTTTGAAAACGCTAATTAGAAAGAGTGTAAGAATCTGCAGTTAATGCTAATTAATTACAAGGTAAACTATTATGTTGTTAATCAGATATTTTCATATCATTTCCTAAATTAAAGTTTTGGTTTCTAAGCTGAGAGCGTCAAATGGCCAACATTATCAGCACAAACAGTGTGAGACAACTGTAAACACTGGCTTTATGCCCCATTGCCTTCTCAGAGGAATAGCAACAAATGTCTTAGTATTCACCTATTCCAGCCAACAGAGTGGTCCGAGCTATCAATAAACAAATAAATACATAAATAAATAAATAAATAAATAAATAAATAAATAAATAAATAAAAATAAAAATAGAAAAGGCAATGACAAGAGTATTACTGGATTCTCCAATTACTGCTCTTTGAAAAAAAAAAGGTAATTACTGCCAAACAACAAAAACGTTGATCCTGCTCATTGTGCTCCACTTAGTTGACTTTCAGCATATGGCAGACCAAAAGGTTAAATAAAATGAGGAGAAGAACTGTTGAAAAAATCAGCATGGAAACCCTCGAGGCTGCAACACAACCTCTCTGAGGACTTTTATTCTGCCTGAGATATACTGATTCATCAATCACAGCAACTCACATGGTCAACCTTACATAAACACATTGGTAATTGGAAATGTTTAGAGTACTTAAAATACTGTTTTCTGTTAAACAAGTKCTGTTGTTTTATTTGCAATTACAGYAATTGGWTAGAAGTTATGTCATGAAATAAGCAATATGTATTTTACTGTGGCAAATCAAATGAGAAAACAAAGAAAAACCTTTATTTTTTTCCTCACCTCATCATAATAGATTCTGAAGTCTGCTTTTTTAGCCCGAAGGTCCCACTGTACAATGGTCCCACCTTCAAACCCTATAAGCAACTGCAAAGACAAAAACAACAAAAGAAAGTTATTAAAATTTAAGAAGGCATATTACAGTGACAGCACCTGCATTGAACATTAAGTAGTCCTTTTGAACGTTAAGTTTCATTTTAGGTTTTTGTTAACAAATGATATAAACATAATTTCTCAGATTCAATGAATGTTGTTTCTCAAACAAAGTAACTGAAGATGCAAATCTTGGGGGATTTAAAACGAAATACCAGTTTAAAGAAATCACTGTGTTAGGTTCACATTTAATGATCAGACTGCACAACTTTATTGGAATATAATTTTAAACAAAAATGTGTAAATACTGAGAACAATTATTGAGGGTTAATATTTCTGGCTGAAAAAATAAATGTATTTATATTTCACATTTATCTAGGAGTTTACACACTACACCATTAAACAGTATTAATAAGTAAAATATCTTCAATGTAACGCAAGTTTTTCCATTCTTATATATACTGTATATATTTCAGAAAAGCAGTGCCGTAACTTGCACCACACATAGAGATAAGACTGCACAAATAGAGAATGGGAGATAAGAGCAAAACTGATGCAATCACAGATGAGAACAGAGTGACCAGTACTGCTCGGAGGAGCACAGCCAGTGTGAAGAAATGGCTGTCCTGCTGAGAGGAGACAATGTGTGACGTCTCAAGTTTGAAGCCGATGAAGCAAAGAATGACAACGGCTCTTAAAAAAAGGAAATCTTAAACCCTGATGTTTTTAAAGCAAAGCTCTAAAGTTTGCATTAGAGACATAAAGAATTAAGTTGAATAAAAAAGCAATGCCATTACACACAGAAAACAAAAACTGCACCAGGAGGCATCTGGAAACGACTCTGTTTTACGATGAAACGTTTAAAACTGTAAAATCTTTTTTTTTTTTTTTTTGGCAAATGACTTTTCTCTACGTTTTCACAGCGTTGTCATTGTGAAAGATGGCGGGTGATTGACAAACTCATAATTAAGTGCAGTAATAGTCCGAAATCAGAGTTTCATAATGGATGCTTGTCAAAAACTAAAAAGCAGTCTGGGTAGGCAGACAAAACAGATAAACTGCTGGAACAAGTTAAAAAAAGTTTCAATTATGAGCTAGAAAACTTCCTGGAAATATTGGTTGTATTGCAAATTGCATTCAGGCATATGCATATCTAAATTACAGCTGAGGAACAAACACAATGAAGGCCTGTATTCAAACAAGCAGAGGAAGCAACAAAAACTGCAAACTCCTTTAAAATTAAAAAGTGAGTGAAACTTATTAAACATCAAACAACTGGATGGAAACTCAACAGTTACAGAGACTGCATTCTCATCTGGCTAAAAAAAACAAACACCCAAATTGGCAGAAAAAATATTATTTTCTTTCTGCTTAGGCAGACATTTCTTCTAGTTCATGAGGTATTTTACTAACAGATAAACCAATATGCATACAAACACAACCAAGTTTGTTTCTATATCCCCGTGGGGACCACAGGATGACTTCCATTCATGTTCTGGGATCGGATTTATAAAACTGGCGTACGCACAATTTGAGCCCAGAAACTTGCGTGCGCCACTTTTTGCGCCAAGGTTGTGATTTATAAAATCCAAACTTGACGTGGAAATGTGCGGTGCCTCACGCCAGCTCTGACCCATGCGTACGCTTGTTTTGGAGACGTGAAACTGCGACACAGATGGTGAAGTGAAGAATTAGAGCCACACTGTGTAATGATCACTGTCAGATATTTAATTTACCGTCAGAATCAGACTTAGATTTTTATTCAGCTTTATCATCAGCTTTCTTAACAGTAATATGTATGCTTCTGCTGCTGAGCCATGAGGACCTTTGAAATAAAAAAAAAACCTTAAATCTTAAACAAAAGTTCCCGTGCGCAACTCCATTCATCTGCTTCCTCCTCAGACGACCCTGACCCACAGACCCCTCTCTGACCCACAGACCCCTCCCTGACCCACAGACCCTTCCCCGAACAGCAGGACAGCAAAAGTCCATGATACATGCGCAGGGCGCATCCACCTCGCCAGTGTGGATGTTAGTGTTTAAAGTCCAAGTTTGTCGCGCGCGGTGTGTGTGTGTGTGTGTGTGTGTGTGCGCGCGCGCTCACGAGAGGCGGGGGTGTCTGCCGCGGATAACAGAGCAGGCAGGAGGGGGAGAGGACGAGGAGAAAAGCAGTGAAATTATTTCTAATTTTATCTGACTTATTTAATTTTATTTTTATTGTTTTTATCATCCTGCAGGCTCTGATGGAAAATTAATTTGAAGCTAAGTTTTTTTTATAAAAATCGTTAGATTACTCTAAAGCAAAATGAGGGAAAATCTGTGTCAATTACAGACAATCTGTTCACGTGAGCAGCTGTCAGTCAGCACCTGTCATCCTCCAGATGCACGACGGAGCATGTCTGAATCAATCACTTTTGTTTGCATTGATCAGCTGACTGATTTAAATACATCTTAACATTCATGAGGTACTTTGCATTGACTTGCGCAGAGTTTGCGCACCAGGCGGGACCTCGTGCGCAAACTCTGACGTGCGGCTGTGATTTATAAAGGAAAGATGCGCAGAAACGCGTACGCACTGTTTTATAAATCTGAATTTTTTTTTTGCCATTCGCCATTTCCGCCTTTTGGCCGTACATTCACTTTTAGTATGGTTTCCACGCAATCCTTTATAAATGAGACCCCTGGTCATTTCTATAATCTCACCCCAGATTCACACTACATGTGTCTCCGCTCCGCTGTGCTGCAGTGCGCAGTTTGCAGCTGTTCCAATTTAAACAACCTCAGCTCTGCTCCGGTGCAACAAACAGAGGAAGGAGCGTGTGCATGAAGGAGATCGCTTGATAAATCCAGTGATAAGTGTGGAAGCCAGAGCAAAAAATAATGACTTCTATGAAAGACAAACTCCAAACGCAGCTGAAAACTTTGATAAAAAAGCTTTTGATATCTATGGTTGAAACTGTGTTGCTGTTGAAACTTTTGATTTCGACAATATTTATGAATGTAGGCATGTATGTTTGTATATCTTTATATATGTACGTATGGGTTTGTGTGTATTTTTATATGTGCCTTCTATGTATTTATCCACTTATTTTTCAGGTGAGCGGATAGATGTTGGGCGTGTGGTTCTGTGTTTTGTTGGTGTATATTTAATATAATCCTAATCGCTATTTCAGTCTTTCTATCTTTCTAATCTCTCTGTTTTTCTCTCTCTCTATTTTCTCTTCACAAAAAATAAATAAAAAAATAAAAATTAAATAAATAAAAATAAAAAAACATAATGGCGAATTATGATACATTCTGACAGCATTTGCGTAGAAACATATCCATATGTTGATTAATATAGCTGCAATTTTGACAGAATTATTCCAACTTATGGTGTCTTATTTTGAAAATACAGATGTTGTGTTTGTTCCTTTTCCTGTTGGTGCAACATGATCTTTGTAGATTGACTTCGGAGCAGCTCCGGCATCCGGCAAAAATAGGATCGGATCCCTGACCCTGACCATTTACCCTTAAACAAATCTCGCAGGTACATACCTGACCCTAAAACCTAAACTCAATTCACACCTTGGACCTAAATCAACCCCCCCCCCCCCAAAAAAAAATTAGCATCCGGACCGTACACATAGGGACCGGGCTTTGGTCCCCACAAGGCTGCATTTTTCTGGAAAATGGTTCACACAATCTAGCAAAACCCTTATGATCCACCTTTGCCTTTCAGCTGCATGTGATAAAAAGGGTAACACTTTCTTTTACAGTACCCTTTTTTACATGGTAACGGTGGTAATTACCATTTAAATATCATAACTACATGGTAATTTCCAAGGTATATCTCAAGAGGAAAAGTTTTAATTACCATGTAATTAGCAGATTATTATATAGTAATTACACTTAAAAAGCATGTTATCATCTTATTATAATTAAATTATATGGTAATAATGTTGTAATTGTAAAGTATTAATGTGAATATTTTTAAAATATATTTGACAGTTGTAATTAAAATACAATTACTTGGTAATTATCATGCAACCATCAAATGGAATAAGGTTGTAATTACCATGAAAATAACAATGTATTTACATGTTATTACCATGTAACTAAATAGTATTAAGATAATTATTTTCCATGCAATTAAATGGTATTTAAGTTTTCTTTTAATGTATGAACATAGTAGTTACCATGTAATTACATGCTAAAAAGGGTACTGTAAAAGAAAGCGTTACCATAAAAAGGCAGTTTTGTTATTTATTTCATCTTGCAAAGCAGAGAGATTATGAAGACAACATGTTGCCAGCTTCAGGTGGGCCGTGATGACACAACCTGGCTTCATAGAGGTAAGTGTCAAAGTTGCAAATGCATCATTTAAATCAGAGCTTGTTTGTTTTCATTGGGAGGGGAGAAAAAAACAGAAATGAAGGTTTTCTCGGTGGAAAAGATGTTTTCTTTCTTAATCCAATCACCTGCCAAGTGTTTTCTTGGAGGTGCCTGCTTTTTGCCAAACAGTTCCCAGTGAAGTCGTTCCAGATGGTTCTGAGTACCAAACCATCTGGAGCATCAACTTAAGCAACGTAAATATTATTTTCTGTAAAACCGCAGCGTAATTGCAGTGTTTCTGCAGTTTTGTAAAAGCAGCTGTGAACCTATGAGATTTTTTTTTTTGAAGTCGGCTTTCATCCCAGAGCTGGGAAATAATTCTAAAAATCATTATGCAACAAGCCTTCTTTCACATTTCCTCCACCTGCCGCTTCTCCATCCAATTTGATTAGATTTGACCCTTGAAAAAAAAAAAACTCAGCTCTTTTCAAATGAAAGGAGCTACAGGTCCTTCACATCTCTATTTATGTGTGCATAATTTTAAAGGAGMGCGAGGAAGAAAGGAAACATGAAAGCAGTGAAAAGAGATATACTACAGAGCGTTTGAAGCTAATAGAAGTTTAACCAAGAGCACAGCAAGAGGGAGAAAGAAGCAGCTTCCTGGAGTTTGTGCAACTAAAGGAAAACCGAGGGATGTTGCCGAGCCCTTCTTTCATCCGCCTACTCACCTTGCCTTCATCCTTTGGGCTGTCACTCAGATGAACTACAGGTCCTGGGTGAGTTTTAGTTGATCTGTGAGGAGAAGGAAAGAAAGATGAGGGAGCTGACAAAGACATCAACAGTAATGCTGTGAAACAAGACTGTGAGGACACATTTCAGAGTCAAAGATAAAAAAAAGGGTGGGGGGGATTTTTTTTACTTATACAACAGGCTGCTCAAATCACAAACAATATTAGTGCTAAGCATTGTGACATTTATTGGCACTGTGTAGAAGAAATAAAATTACCAGTTAACTATTATTCTAAAGCCATTAGCAGGGATCAAGAGTAGCCAGGGCAGAATACAGACGCCTTAAAGGGTGGTTTTCTAAGAACTATTATTTTCCCATTATAACAGTCCTGCTGGCATCTAGATAGTTGGTACATTACCCTTTCCTGCAGTAACACACAAAAGCCTATGCTTCCTATTGCACATTTGTTTTACATTATGTTGTCAACAAATGGTGCCCAATCTAAAGACCTTTCAATTTGCTCTGAGCTTATTGGAATGGAGGTTGTAATATTTCTTTTTATTATTTTGTTTGCTATTTTGTGGTTGATTGACTCAATTTTAAATAAAGTCTAATGTTTTGTGCTTTGTGATTGCTACAGTCATTTAAACATTTAGAGAATCAACAAGTTTAGTTTTAGTGTTTGTTTCTAGAACTTACTTCCTTGTTTTAGGGGTATGACATAATATTTGGGGTGTGACCAGGTTTTTCTAAAAATCGTGAGGTTTGCCATTGTTTCCTCTCGAGCAAGATGGAGCTTTGTGATGTGTGCAAACAAACATTCAAAGCTGAGCACTGGACCAGTTTTCTGGCCATGGAGTGCACTTCTAAATGCTACAGATTAATATCTCTGCAGACAAGAACGTGAAAAGTCTCGTCCCTGCTAGAGCCACGTATAACCCCCCGTTTGTTTCTCAAATCCAACAGAGAGATGTGCGGTGCTGTGGCTCCAGCTTCCTCTGTGGAACGGCATCTGTCCAGAGGTGCGACAAGTGAGGGTGGCTTGGAGGGACTATGCCCCCCACTCCAGCCACCAAACATCGTTGGCCCCACCAGTTTTATCTTTGCTTTGTGTTCGTTTTATTTTCCCTTAGCTATTTAGGATTAATAAAACCCTATAAATATATTAAAATGTTTTTTATTTGCAAAACTAACACTTAAAATTATAAAAATTTTACTTAAAATAAAACATTAACTTAAAATAGTCCTTCTCAACAAAAATAACTAGTATAAATCAAATGTCCTCAGCATTAGGATTTAGGTTTTCATGAGTTTAGAGGCATTATTTACTTTGTTTTAGAAGCCAAAGATGAAAAAAATACAACTGGTCTTATTTTCTGAAACTGTAGACATTTTTCTTCCCTTAAGGAATGCTTTGCCAGTTCAACATGTTTGGAGTAGTGTGATGTTCTAAACTTTATAGACTTTTATGAAGATTTATAAAGCTTAGACAGCAGAATAGAAGTTGAGTTGTTTGTTTTTTAATTATTTTTTTTCAATCATGACCTGGATGGTTGAGACTTCACCAACATTATAGATGTAAAATTTGGCAGCACAGTTGGTAGAGTTGTTGTTTCTCAGCAAAACGTTTGCTGGATCTTGCTAGATGATGTTTACATGTTCTCCCTCTGCATGAATGTTTTTTTTTCCCTGGTACTCCAGTTTCCTCTCACAGACCAAATATACACTTTAGCTTCACTTGTACAGACTGTGCATCTAAAAAAATGCTTGCTTTGTAAATGTAATTATTTTTTAATAAAAGCATGTTCAGGTCTGAATAACTTAAACCCAGCAGTTGAGGGCCAGGCTGTTAGGAACTCCTGGCACACTTTTTTCTCCCCAGTCCACCCCTGTTGTCATTGTACACGGTTCTCTTCAATGTATAAAGATTTGGATCTACATTCACATGAGCTTGTGAGTATGTTGCACTTTGAATAGTAGTTTGTATTGGCAAGAAAAAGAAGAAAAAACAACAACTTTGTTGTAATATAATAGACTAAAGCACATGCACTGTTGTGCATTTGAGCATTTAGCAAAATCAGTGAATTTATGCTTTTGTTAAATAGTTTTCTTGTTTTGCCTAAAACTGAGACTCTTTCCAGGAATGAAAAATGCAGCATGAACAAAAAAAGTATCTTAAAATCCCCAGCTGTAAAAGTGACTATTGCTGTTTTTTTTTAAACAATTCAGGATATGATTCCTAGTGAACATCACTAAACCTGCAACAATCAGAATATTCTAACTTTGTGCCTGGGATGTGAGTGGATCTGAGAGGCTGAGGCAAAGTGGAACTGACACGTACAGACGGGCTCATTTAGTTATGCCTGCTGCCTGGGAGTGATAAAAATATAAAGGACACCAGTAAGTTCTCAACATTTTAGAGTTTGCTTTGTAAGAAGAAACTAGTCAATCTATCACCTAAAATCTGCAGCTCACCTGTTTGGAAAAAACTAATCAAGTTGCACAGACCATTAAAAATAAAACTCACACTAAAAGACATTACTTTCCTACTGATGAAACCCATTTAAGCTATTTTGACCCTGGACTTTTATTACAGAGTACCACATTACCTGCATACACACATAAACAAAGCTGAATGACACAAAGTTTCTTTGCAGTTTGTTCCAGGTGAAAATGTTGAAAGCATTTTGAATTTTTTATGGCCATGACTGAGGGTGAGAGAAGGCTGCTTTCTTAGCCTGATGAATGCCTCCACACTGAGGAGGCAGCAATGAGAATTTCAACTGATCTCCTGCCGGAATTAGTGACTTTGTGATACTTTTATTTCCTTCCAACAAATGACAAGGCCAGTCTTTGAAATGCTCAGTAAAAAGCAACATCAGAATGTTTTGTGACACAAAAATACACAAAAATTCTGCTGGGTGATTGAAGCTACGACTGCATAATTTAAAAAAAGTCACAAGGCCAAAAAAGGAAAATTCAAACGTCTCTTTCCTTGAGAAAATTGACTGATTGTGCTTTGAAAAATGATAATTTCCATCTAAAGGATGTGAGATTGCTCGAAATATTCTTTCAGTGCATTTTTAACTTGTTCAATAAATGGCCAGCTTAGGAATTGGGATCTTACTTGTTCATAGGAACCAATGACAATCTTGTAGGAACTCATAATTATGACCCCGAAATTGTCATATTATTTTCCTGGTTTCTTCTTCTTTTTTTCACAGATTTTTGGTCACCCATATCACAGAATCAACATGAAATTTGGAACTTTGATGTGCCCGACATTCTCTGCACAAGCCAACAGTTTTACGATAGACCCCATATTTGAAAAGGGGGCTCCATCTGAAAAGGGGGTGTACTGGACTAACAAAATTGCTTATGACTTTAAAAAAACTATTCAACAGGAGCTTCAGATTTTTGTTGTTGTTTAGCTCTGATGAAGGGCTATCCATCGGGCCCACCAATGAGAGCAACGAGAAAAAAAAAAAGCAAACTGAGGATCTTAATATAAGAAGTGCCAATTTATTTTTTATTTGCCCAATTGTGCCCCTTCCCTCTTCTGTATTCAAGTAAAAAGCTTCATGACTTCAGTGATCTAGATAAAATGCAAATTATCTCCTGACATTATATACTGTAAATATATTAAATTCTAAAAAATGACCTTGGCGGCAATAATTGTGTTTGACTTTTTAACAAGGCACAAATCTTGATGTTAGATACGGGTGAATTTTCTTGCAGGGTTTATAYTGAACAACTTAGCCAAAACTATTAGTTCTAAATGTTTGCAGCAAATAAACAAACACAGAATGTTAAAGGGGCAATATCATGTAAAATCAACTTTTTTGAGTTTTATATCATGTAATAATGTTATA